TTTCTTTTGTTTTGCAGCCTAATAGTATCTTCATGTCAGAAGCAACCAACATGTTGGTAGTTATGGGTCCAAACATGTAAGGGAGCTTTACTCCCCCGATTTCTGATCGATTGTCCAGCATATCCACATTGACTCATGCTTGTATTTGCATTCCTTTCTCTCAAGGAGCGGAAAGAGCACATATCTCCAACAGGTGTGTCTGGTAGTCATTCTTGCTCAGATTGGCTGCTATGTCCCAGCTCGCTTTGCAACTATAAGGGTGGTTGACCGCATATTCACGAGGATGGGGACAATGGATAACCTTGAGTCAAATTCAAGCACGGTAATCCTGCTCAGACATTCTCCCAAGTCTGATAGATGATCATTATCCCATGTGATCTCTATCAAAACTGTCGAGATTCCAGCATTTCTCATTTCTCATTTCTCATTCCTCTCTTATGAATGTCACAGTTTATGACAGAGATGAGAGAGACCGCTTTCATAATGCAGAATGTCTCCAACAGGTAGGCTTTGTAAAAAGCATTGATACAAGCTAACCTTCCCCTCAGTTACATATCTTTCTTTACCCGTCAAAATGTAGGAGTTTGATAGTCATGGATGAACTCGGGAGGGCGACTTCTTCGTCAGATGGTTTAGCAATGGCATGGAGCTGCTGCGAGTATCTCTTATCACTCAAAGCGTAAGCATTTTTTACTGACTTTTTCCCACCAAACTCACTCAAAAGGTACTTGATAAGTAAATCAAAAGTGTGTTTTTTTTTTCGGCTATCATTCTTCAGGTACACAGTATTTGCAACCCATATGGACAGTCTCGCAGAGTTAGCAACCATCTACCCAAATGTCAAGGTTCTTCACTTTTATGTAGACATCAGAGACAACCGCTTAGACTTCAAGGTTTCCTCGTTTCTTCTTCTCTCTAGTATGGGTTCGGGTTTTAGCTACTACTGCTGCTAAATGGTACATTTTCTGGTCAGTTTCAACTGAGAGATGGAACCCTGCATGTTCCCCACTATGGCCTTTTGTTAGCCGAAGTGGCTGGTCTGCCTAATACAGTGATTGAAACAGCGAGGACCATAACCTCAAGGATCACACACAAGGTAAATATTATACCCTTCGCTTACTAAATTGAAAGTGCATTTATCCAATTAGCTCTTTTGTCCTATGAGTCCTCTTGTTTATAATGAATGTTGGGCAGGAAGAGAAAAGAATAGAGCGAAATTGCGGGAAGCACCATGAAATGCATCGTATCTATCGGGTCGTTCAAAGGTTGATTTGCTTGAAGTACTCTAGACAGACAGAAGACTCAATCCGCCAAGCTCTCCTTAATCTAAAGGACAGTTTCACTGAAGAAAGACTCTAAAGAGAAATGACTTCAATCCATTCTCCTCTACCAGGCAGAGCGCTTATTTCTTACTAATAGATTCACATTCAGAAGTTGCAAGGTGCGAGCAAAACTCCAATCTTTCATGTAAAAATAAAACCACCATCAAAATTAACTAAGAAACTTATCTTTATGGTCAGATTCAAAGTTTTAAGAAACAAAAACTTGAAACAAACTCTTGACTGTAAAGTCTTAGATCTCAAAGCAATTCTAGAATTCAGAAATAGAAATCCACACAGAAGATATACCACTTGAGAAAAACAAAACATAGAGATGATCATCGGTAACGACGGAGAGAGGTAGTGTTGTTTGTCTTCCAGGTAGCCCTGCGGGAAGGACGGTTCTTGTGGTTGTTGTGACCCTTTCCACGAAGACCACGATTCTTCTTTCCTTCTGAGGTAAGCCCTCTGAGTTCTCTGTGTTTGTGCACAGGGTTGCAGATCCAGTTGATCCTTGGATCATTCCGGATGGCATTGTGTGCAGGGTCAACTAGGATGATCTCATAGTACTTGTAGGTAGAGTCCTAAGTAAACAGAGACAACCACAAAATTAATCAACAGAATCAATCACCATATCAGATATCTAACTAAGTCAACAACTCATAAACAGAAATGAATTTATATTCACTATTAACAGTCATGAAACAAGCTCATTCTCAACTAAAATGAACTAAAACATTATCAGACATCATATGCTAGAACGAATCTGTAACTACAATTATTACATAAGGCGTGGTGAGTTATTACCTCATTGAGCCAGTAGGAGTTGACAACTCTAAGGCCTCCCAATTTGCGACCAGCACGTTCCTCAGCAACAGATCTCTTACTGCGCTGGAATTTGAGCTGAGTAACTCCCTGGTTGGTGGGTTTACCATACACAATACCCTTAGGCACAGGCCTCTTGCGACCTCCACGTCTCACACGGACACGGTAGACCACAAACCCCTGACACAAAGAACCAAGAGAGGTCAGCACCAGACTCAGTAAAATATTCGATCCATGGCTTAAACAAAATGTATCAATCTTAGACAAGAACAGAGTCCACAGTAGATAAAGAGCTGTTCGGTCAGAAGATTGATTTGTTGTGGCTGGTTTCAGGAAGTATTCTATCATGTTGACGCAGACATTAATGCCTACGCGTCAAGACACCGCTTGACCAGCAAAATTATAATGAAAGGCTTGATTCGAGATAACACAAAAATGAAAGAGATGAAGAAGAAACGTACCTGCTTGGCCTTGTAGCCGAGACGACGGGCCTTGTCAGGACGTGTGGGACGAACAAGACGAACGATCGAAGGCTGTTGGCGATACTCCCAGCACCTANCCCTCTGCAGAAACCTCATCACATCCGACTGCTTCTTCCTCCATAGCTCCGACACGTACTTGTACGCTCCTGCCGTTACAAAAAAAATAACATTTCTTTCATCATTACTCTACTGAACCAAATCCTATCAACCATAGATGAACATAATCGGCTAGAAAGAGAGAGAATCATACCCATTGCGAATTCCGGCGTCGCAGTCACTTGTTTCTTGCAACGAGGTTTCTGCTTTAAATAGATGATTCCATGAGGGAGCTAGGGTTTCCTTTAGTGTGGCCCATTAAAGTTTATTGATTGGGCCTTGATTACAGACATATTATTCTTTAAGCCCATTAAAAATAGAAAACGGTGTTAGGCAAGGCCGTTACGGTTTCCCACATCTCTCAATCCTTTTATGATTTTTTTGGGCCTAACTGGTGCCATAATCTTTGAGGAATGTTGAGGAATTGCAGTAAAAAAAATTAAGCTATTACCAGTTGTACTGTGGAATTGAGAGTTGCACTTTGTGGAATTGGGAGGAATAATACGTAACAAGTGGATAAAATTTAACAG